AAACTATTTTCTGTGTTGCCATGATTGCTTGTTCTTTAGTGGTAAGAAGAGTTTATACCAATGGACTTTTTAGGTTTGCACATTTTGAGTAAGCATACCCTCAAATCCCATATGTAAATATATATATATTTAAAAGTAAATTGTGCAGTAAAACCACAAAAAATATTCATTGCACCATTGCTTGTTCCTTTTTTTGTCTGTTGGGCTTTTTTTTTAACTTGAGAAGCATCAGTTCCTCACTTTCTTTTTTTGTGGAGGAACTCTGGAGGATATACATAGAAATGATACCTAAAGATCAGCTGCAGCTCTCTTTCCAGTAAAGGTAAGGAAAGAGACCTGATGTATCCCTTTGCCCAGTCTTGTGGAAAAGCTTGTAGGGTCAAGGCATAAGCATACGCGTTCTCTCTTCTGACATCTGGGGACTGGGAGAATTGCAGTTCCATGTCACATCCCTACCCAGGTTACTCTAAAATTTTAAAGTCCTTCAGCCCCCAAAAAAGATAAATTAGGACTGATGTTTCATTGCTTCTGAAAAAAAGGAAAAAACGATTAAAAGAAAAAAAAAAGCCCTTCCTAAAAAAAAGACATCCACAGCTGTTCTTATACAGCATAAAAAAGTGCAAGTTGAACACACATTTATATTAGTTTGTTTATCTGCAGTTCACCTTTAAGAAAAAGCAAAAAAGTTTACTGTAAAGTACATAAATATCTTAACAATAAGGGAAAGAATTGAACATTATAAATTGTACAGCATTTAACTAAATCCTTTTCTTCGAGGATGAGACTGCTGCGGTCACAAAGAACATTCAGGAGCAGGGGAAAAAAAACACAAACCAAAGGGGAGAAAATAATAACTGTAAATGGGGCAAAATAGTAGCTGTATTGGAAACATGACAAAAACAGGAAGTTAAGAAAAAAATTAAGTGGAGTCAACAGGGTTACACATAAGTAACACCTTAACATTAAAAGAAATCTATTTTCCGTTTTGACCCAGAAACCTCTTCCATTAACTACTGAAATCTATTTACACAGCAACTAGATAAAATCAATCTAATTGCCCACACTATTTTTGGCTCCCTTTCAGTGTTTGGCTCTCTGGGTGTCATGGCTGAGACTCTGGGCTGCCACAATTTGCTACCCACACAGTTGCCTAATTGTGATTCCAGGTCTGCAAAATCTACTGTGCAGGACTTGGATTGTGGCGCACTCCTCCTGCCCCCAACACACACATGTACGGAGGCCATGCTTTTCTCCAACCATATATGGAGGCGAGGCAACTCTAATGGTATCTCAACTGAGCTTGTTATGAGGAGATCTGACAGGCTCAGTGGCAGAAGCTCTCTTACATTAACCAGGCATAAAATACAGGAAAAGACAAATCATGTTGAATGAGCACACACAGTCCTTGAGTGAACTGAGAAAGGCACACAACCCCTTCAACTCCTTATTCTCCTACCATTCATGGCAGAAGACAAGGTATTTTACAGAAAATAATGATATTTTGCAGAAAATTATTTTTTCCACAGGGTTGTATTGTTTGTTCTAAACTAAGAATTGTATCAATCTGTGCCTGTTAGATGGGCACACTTTATGCTATCAGAGCTTCTTCAATTAAGTAGGCAACACAGCAGAGCCCTTTACCTTAAGCAAAATCTACATTTATGAGCTGTGTCATCGTCTCTCATACTGAAAAAGTGTCTGAGGCTTTGAGAGGCATATATATTCATTTTAAATGAAGAAGTAAGTCGGGGCGAAAGCTATTTTTGTGACCATTTTTATACAATCTTAAAAGTATAGAAGTCTGCAAAATGTGTTAAATTCTTTCCTTTCCTTAAACTTATTCAAGGTCTTCCATGCAATATAGATAATCAAGGTCTCACCAAATATATTTACAATTACACCTGCATTAAGAATCACCTGCAACAGGCAATCCCCTTGCCCAGAGTGCACCTGACAGTAAAGATGCAACATTTGAACTTCCAACCTGACCAAGCTTGGGGTATTCTGACTCCAAGTCATGGCATGGCCTGCTACAGAGAGTGGGGCCCTCAAAAAGTCTGGAGCAAAATTTGATTCAAAATTCCCTAAAATGTTTTGAGTTCATATTGCTTGGATCAAAAATTTCACGCAGACCTTTATCCACTGTGGTGGTCCCTATGAATGTTTTCAGCACAGTCTTAGTTTGGATAAAAGTTGAAAACAACCTTGACTAGGCAACTGGTTTTCTCCAGTCACCTGAATGGCTCTTACATTTGCAGTTGTTCTTTATGAATTTACTAGAGTCATGCCACAGGATACAACCAATGTTTTTGTCTGTGCAATGGCTTAGAGTCTGAAAAGTATATTTTTTTCCTTTGCACATGGTTAACCAGTTCCAAATTAACTGGAGATTCCAGCTACTTCGATGTATTGACAAGACAATGACATTTCATTTAAACAAACTAGTCCTGATTGGATGACAGGAAATTGCTTTGGGCCATACATATATTAGATTTTTGCCTGATTTCAGTCACACTGTTACTGAATCTGTGTGGAGTCTTGGCCTTGATTTGCAAAAGACCCTCTGGTGATGGTATGGAGTGGCTGGTGCTGGTAAGTAGCAGCTAGGCCTTTCTCCCTCTATTCATTGTTGATAAACATTGATGGCTTCAGGTACTTACTTGAAAGGCTTCTCTCCTGTGTGTGTCCGGATGTGATTGTTGAGTGTTGTAGCACCAGCAAAGGCCCGGCCACAGTAACCACATTTGAAAGGTCTGTCACTGGAATGAGTGACCACATGGTTCCTTAGTTCTGAAGGCTGGGAGAAGGATTGGGAGCAATGACCACATTGATAGGGTCTGCAAAAAAACCAGACAGAAGCAGCATGTGATCACCATTTCCTGTACCAGCAAATGACAAACAACTTGATTGGTGAAAATTAATCTTTTCACATTGATTTTCAAAGAGGAAAGTAAATGCAACTCCCTGGAACTAGCGTGGAAGACAAACACTCAAACCCTGGAACTCTGCAAATTTAGAGATCAGAATTCATGTGCAGAAACTAGGTTTTGAGTAGCCACACAGCCTAGTTTGTTCCTTATTTTCCCCAGCTAAGGGGCAACAATACATTCTCTATGGAATGAAAAAAATCTTGCTGCTTGAGATTTAGATTTTAGAGACCTGTTTTAACAGGTTTGAGAAGTCCTATTTCT